GTCTTTAAAGAACATCCCCTTCCCTGATATCATTGATTCCGTGGGCTGTGGCAGCCAGAAATGCAGCGTGCCTTGATCTGAAGTAGATGCCAGGTAGCCAGGTATCACAAGGAAGGTATACAAAGTGTAACCTTAATGTCATTGTGCTCTGTGGGATGGCTTTGGGCCTGAGACCTAAGATGTGGTTATAAATGTGTTATACATTGACATCTTTGCTTCTTTTCTTAACTGGCAATGGATGCTATTTTGGAGTTCCCTCTTGTCCCTCAGGGCCTCTGATGTCTAACTACCTGCCTAACACTATCATCTGCAAATAACTGTTGCTTTGTTTCCAGCATGAAATATTTGAAATTTGCAGAGGTTAGAGGAATAGTACAAACCACCGTATACAGAGCACTTACTTCATAAACTGTGGTACATTTTAAAATAAATTCCCTTCATTCCTTCTTTCATTCCTTTGTTCCCTCCTCCTTCCCTCCCTCCTTCCCTCCCTCCCTCCTTCCCTTCCTTCCTTCCTTCCTTCCTTCCTTCCTTCCTTCCTTCCTTCCTTCCTTCTTCCTCCTCCTTCCTCCTTCCTTCTTCCTTCTTCCTCCTCCTCCTTCTTTCTTCTTCTCCTCTTCTCCTTCTCCTCTTCTCCTTCTCCTCTTCCCCCTTCCCCTCACCCCTTCTCCCTCCCCTCCCCCTCTTCCTCCTCCACCTCTCCTTCTCTTTCTTCTGCTCCTTCTTTTGCTCCTGCTCCCCCCACTCCCCATCCCGCTCCTCCTCATCTTGTTGAGACAGGGTCTCTCTGTGCAGTTCAGGCTGGCCTTGAGCTCACTTTGTAACCCAGGCTGGTGTCAAACTCACAAAGATCCTCCTGCCTCAGCCTTCTGAGTGTTGGGATTATAGGTATATGCCACCACACCCGGCTTGCGTAGGTTCTTCAAACTGCTAATTTGTTCAAAGGAGTTAAATTTCTTGCTTCTTTTTGTACTACTGGATCAATAACCCAGAGCTTGTGCTGTAAGCCACACCTCTTAAATGTAAAATACATTTTTAATTTATAATTACATTTTATTTATTTATTTTGAGACAGGGTTTCACTAAGTTGCTAAATTGCCCACGCTGGCCTCCAACCTGTGATCCTTCTGCCTCAGCTTTCCCGAGTGTTGGCATTACAGGTGTACCCCACCATGCCCAGGTGAATTAATTAATTTTTAAAGTTAATTAGTTAATTTTTTGAGACAGGGTCTCACTATGCAGTTCAGGCTGACCTTGAACTCACAGCGATCCTCCTGCCTCAACCTCCTGAGTACTGGGATTACAGAAGTGAGCCATCATACCTGGCTTTATTTTTTAAAAATAAGTTTCTTGAACAAAAATACATACCTATGATGTATTTAATACATGTCTGATTTTCTACTAATCTTATATGTATTTATTTTAGTGCTCTTCTTTTTAATGAAGTGAAATATATCACTACCCTGGAAGACCTTCAGAACATAGAAAATACTGTGAAAGGAAAAGCAAATATGATATTTTCATATGTAAGAGCCATTGGAACTCCAGGTATTTATAAAATTTTGCTTTCATCTTTGCTATGCCTATGTACTTGTGTGAATATATTAAAGTACTTTAAGTAGAATACACTTAATATTTAAAACAAAATTTAAACATCTTTACTATTATGCCATCTTTCTCCAAATGAGCAGCATAATATAATTAGTAGTCGGATAAGAACTCATAATATAATGATCGGATAAGAACTCATAATATAATGATTGGATAAGAGATTGACTACATTATACTTACTACCTTAGACTTCTTCCTCCACCAATTACTTACAGTGTAACCTTGGACAAGTTACTTAATTTTAGTCTCCTAGTCATTAAGATGGAGAAGATACCCTCGTCTTAGTTTTATTGTGAAAAACACAATGAATTTGAGTAACTAAAACGTTGCCTAGAATATTTTGTAGGTGCTGTATGTTAACTATTACTATTTTTATTTCCTTACAGTCCTCATGGTACCTGAAATTATAGTTCCTAATATTTGATAAATCTCATTGACTGGCTGACTGGCTTTCTTTTCTACTTTGTTGCTTAGAATGATTTTTCTTGATTTAAAAAAAAATCCATTTTTTGACATCATCAACTGAGCATTAACATCTAAGTTTGTGGTAAAGAAGTTCATAAACATTTTATGATTAAAATGTAGTTATGTTTTTAAGACTTTTACTCATTAATGGTTATAATGTAACCATGTTAACATGAGATGCTGTTAAAGACATTATAATAATTATAAATGCTCTTAAGAAACAAATCATTTATTGGAAATCTCAATTTTTATACCTATGAAGCTTGCTGGCTATATGTTATGTTACTGACCATGATACACTTGTGAAATAATATTTCACAGTCAGCTTGCTTTTGTTTGCCTTTTAGAGTCCTCAGGTTGTTCTGTTTTCTTTAGAGTTTCTAGTTGTAATCAGTAAAAGGGATGAGCTAGGTGGGACTTACACTGCTATTGTTACACCAGAACGGGAACTTCCTGATTTATATTTTAATAGTATCAGCCTGGCTACTTAGGTTTGGAATACATTCAAAAAAGCAAAGGTAAAATTTTGGAGAAAATTTGGGATCTATCGCAGTAATGCAGGCAAGAGGTGCTGGTGGGTGACTGGCTCCAGGACGTTAGCAATGGGGGTAATGTTAGTGTGAATATCAGAAGTATTTTAGACATAGGGGAAAACGGAATTTGTTGTCATATTGGATGTGGACTGAGAAATAGTGGAGACAAAGCTGGCTGTGAGATTTTGGTCTGAGGTACTTGAAAAGTGAGATGCTAATAACTGAGATTAGGGAAAGACTGGGAATAGACTGGACTGGACAGCTTGGAGGAGCAGCTCTGGAGTTGACCTTTTGGCATCATACTTGGGAAATACCCATAAGACATCCAAGGGGGTGACGCTGACACCCAAACGACAGCCGAGGTGTGTGGGTATCACTAGACTGCATGTTTATGTTGGGAGGTAGATTGGTGATATCAATTCAAGAAATACAGCTATGAGACCAGAAGAGATCTCTGAGCGAGTTACGCAGGAAAGAGGAGACCCAGTCGAAACCATTAGACACTGCAGAATTCACACAGCTGTGAATTTCCATTTAATTAATTTCCAAGAAATTAATTTTTGTCCAGATAAGCTCTTCTTCCTTATGACAAGGTGTAGCATAGCATATATCAATGATGGGAAATCCTAAATTTAGTTTAATCCCATTAGGCTCAGGAGATGGTTTAGGTGGGCATCTGTTCTCACTAATCCCTTAGTTGAGGCGAATCACCATTCACTGGGTGTGCAAATGCCAGCAGCTATTTTACATCTAGGAAAACAACATGGCAAAGTGATAGCCTTTACCCTAGACCACAGACCGGGCAAGTAACGGAACTGACAATAGCAGGAAAGTGCGACTGTTCTTGTCCCACTGAGATTCAGCTCCGTCAGAAGAACCTCGCTCTGTCAGACCTGACTGCCCGCTTTCCTCATCCCTTCAGGTGACTCAGGGGAGTTTCATTTAACCACCATGTTCAAGAATGTAGCTTTGGATGAGTTAAGAAGTACCATGTTGTGCTAGTGTTCTTAATTCAGGGAGGATGAAACGTGACTCAGTAAAGATCTGAGATTTACTATGTATTTTCAATAATATAAAGTTTTTAACTGAAATTACCCTGCTTTGGCAGTTAGTATGAACAGTCTTAACAAGCCGTATACCAGAAGTTGCTTGCTCCGAAGGAGTTTGTAAAAATGGGGGAACAAGTGCCTGCATCCAGACTATTGCTTCAGTCTCCCTCTCTGGTTTTGACAGTTGACATCAATCAGGTTTTCTTCTCACCGCGGCATTTCTGATTGCCTGTCAGTAGGAACTTCTGTCAGTAGCACTGCGGATAGAGGTTTTTTTCAAGATCTCACAATCTGCCTTATTTTGAGGTTGGCTTCTAGGTGGCCTTTGTCATCTCCCCCTTTACAATGTGTCTGCTAAGGCCTTCAGGGACGCCTGTGAGGGGTCTCTGTGGCTTGATCTGGGGTAACAGGCAGGGATGGCAGGTTTGTGTTCCTAACCACTCTTCCATCAGTTGATGGGTGATGGTTAACTTGGGGAGCACCCTACATGGGAAGTCTCATTCTGTTGATTCTCGGGCCCCTTTCTTCCCCCTAGGGCTGGAGCCCTCACCACTGAAGCAGGCAGCTGCCTGTAGTTCTTGACTTGACTTGGATCATTTGATCCAGCAGTCCCCTTTTGGGTGTAGAGCCTAGGGAACTGAAAGCCACATCTTGAGACATCTGTGCTCCCTTGTTCATTGCAGCATATTCACAATAGCCAAGACACACAGACACCTTCTGTCTGCCCTGGACTCACAGATACGTGGCAAGCAGGCACGAGTGTGTGGTGAGGAAAAGGCTAGTTCTGGGATGCGGAGCCCTTTGGTCTTCCCAGTCCTACCCATTCTGCACCTTCCTGCTGGAGAACCTCTTCTACTCTTTTACCTGTGTCACAAAACCTTTTGTGGCGGAATGCATTCCTTTTGGCAAAGGGCCCTGGCAAGCAGACAGCAGGTCCAGATGACACTAGGGCTCACCACAAGGGCCACCTCTGGAGAGCAGGTGCTCTCACTGGAGGGGTGGACACGCTTGCTGCCAGCCCTGCTCTTCGGGCAGAACCTAGCAGCCTCGTGCCAGTGGAGGAGCGCCTCTGCTGTGGGTAGCAGGAGGTGCCGCTTGCATTGCCTTTGTTAGCCTAATGAAAGACCTGCTGAGCTCTGTCTCCCTTTTGGAGTTCTGTGAGAAGGCTGGAGAGTCTGAAGCAGCAGGTGTGGAGTGAGGCCCAGAAATCTTTATTATTATTATTTTTTAACAAGCATCAGATGATTCTTTTATATTGGTAAGTTTGGGAAACAGTAGAGCATACTATTTCTCAAGATTCTCTCCAGGGCAGTGAGAACCTTTGTGTTAGCGAAATACTACTGCATTTACTCGGACCTAGCTTGGGAACAAAATGTGCCTCATTCTTTTCTGAGAAGCCAGGCAGCACAGAAGCCTCTATTCTTTGAGTGTCCTGTGCACATTTATCCAGGAGCTTCCCCAGCTCTAATAGGCTGTGCAGCGGCGTTGAGGATTAGCTACTGATGTTTTGATGTCTGAAGCGAAGGAGCCAGGCTACAAGGGAAGGAAAATGTTTCCGTCTGCTGCTGGGATATTTTTTTCACACGCATCATCATCCTTCAGTCCAAGTAGATAACCATGTTTTACTGATGCAGCGAATAGTAGCTTCTAGACCAAAACGATTTTCTGCAGCAAGCTATTTTATAATGCAGTATAGGGACATTTGTAGTTCTCTCAGTTATTTGGGGGGTACCTGCCTAGGCTTTAAGAATCAGCAGAAACCAGAAAAGTCCAGATGTTCCAAGTTTCATCAAGGACCTGAAGGTATTATTGATGCTTTTAGAGTTGTAAGGAAGAGAGTAGGCACAAATTAGGTGATGTTGAAATTAAGATGAGAACGGCCTGTTGGGCATTATGCAGAGCAGTGTGGCGCTTACTGGAGACATTCAGCAGGGAAGTTTCTGTGGAGTGGATGGAGAGGTATTAGAGAGAATAGCAGAGAGCAGTTGAGAGTGGACATAGAGACCCAGCAGTGAGAAGTTTTGCTTAAGAGGACGAGAAAAAGGGCAGTGGCTAGAAGGGTGTGTGGGGTCAAGCGAAGAATTTTTTGAGCAGCTTATTTGTATGTTCACAAGAAAGATTCAGCAGAGAGAGGACAGGAAAAAGGGAAGAATTGCTGCAGCAGGTTCTTTAGCAATATGGGAGGGGCTGCAATCCGGTGAGCGCGGGGAGGCAAGGCCCTTGGTGCAAGCACAGCGAGTTCACCCACAGTGAGGGCAGCGGTGAGACAGTGTGTGCATCACCTCGGCTAAGTGGTTAGGTAGTGGTTAGGAAGCTTGTGCAAGTTTTTCTGGTTTGTTTTTAATTTGTTCTGTTAGTGAGACAGAAATAAAGTGGTACGTTGAAGTAGAAATTCTCAGTTGAAGAAAGAAAAGATGAAGTAGTTGTTCAGGAGGCCTGGGAATAAAGAATAGGTTCTAGACAAAAATAGTAGTTAATATCAGCACTTTCAGGTGAGACCATTAGCCAGTTTTGTTTCGTTTTGCTTCTGGCCACACTTATGTTGGGATTGTTGGAGCGTAGGGAGCACACAACAGGCACACCATTACACTTAGCTGGGATTGTTCGGGCCCCGTGGACAGCGGAATATCAACATTGACCATGAAACTTCAGCTGATTAGGAGGGAAGAGAAGACCAGAGGGGAGTGAGACAGTGGAAGGTGATGGTGTCACCAGCTAGCACTGGTCCTTGCTTCAGGAATAATGATAATGCAAATGGAAACTGAGGCATTCAACAGGTATTCACCCACAGTGTAAATAAATCAAACAGCAAAATAGAAGCTAGACAATAGGAAATAGGGAGGGAGGCCTTAGGCATACGGGAAGGGGATTGAGAGGTGTTGGGGGGAGGGGGTGTAAAGGAATTAAGCATGTGTTTGCTGTGCACATGCTCCATCTATGCACACTGGATGTGTTCACTATGTAGCACAAACGTGTTCTGATAAAAAAGTAAGAGAAAATAAAGGAGAACACAGCTCTGACAAAGAAAAAGCTCATCCCTTACAAAAGAAAAAAGAGGAGATAGAAAAAAGTTTCTCAAACTGAAGGGGGCACAGGTTTGAAGAAATCACTCAGACTGGCCCATTCACAAAAGAATAGAGACCATATTCGTGGTGCTGTGGAAGGCTGGGGTCTGCCTAGTCATTATCTTTGTCCTGGTTTCTTAGCTCTGAAGGAATCCTGCTGATTTGAGGGCAGTTCAAGACCCATGAGATGATTGATTCTGCCTGGGGCAGTCTGAGGTATGTAAGTCTCTGCTGGAATCCAAGGTCCCTAAGTTTAGGGCAGTGGATAGTTCTGGGTGTAGCTGAATAACTGTCAATTTCTTATCTTGGTGTCTCAGTTGGAGATGAAATGGCCTAGTTAAACGTAGGGCTAATAAACCTTGTCTTGCCAGGTTTTAGACAGATGCTTTCCAACACACCTGTATGTAGAGCTAAGAACAAATTTGACCCAGAGTTTTGCAGAATGAACTGAAGCTTTGTTCTACTTTTAGTGACTTCTTGGGCTCAAGCAAAGAGTCACATTTTTGTTGCTAGCCACACACACACACACACACACACACACAGACGCACACATGCACGCGTGATTGCATGCTTTTAAGTTCCTGTCCACCTCAGAAGAAAACCCAAATCATGCTTTTAATGAGTTACAAGTTAAGGGTCCAGGAGTTTGATCTCTGTCCCTGTGTTGAATGTCTGTATTGGTAGAATCTGTGGCTCTTTGGTCCTGATGAGTTAGAGCTGTGTACCTGACAGAGTGGCCTAGAGTTGTGTGATTATACGTGTGGGGTGCTACACAAAGGTTATACAAGGGTTGGAGGGAGACCATAGCAGTGAAGGTAAAGTTGTAGCTTAAGAGAGATCACTGGAGTAGGGAAGACCAAGAACTGAGAGGCTAGGATTTTGACTCCACCTGCAGATAATAAAACCAGCAGAGATTATGACAACAGTGTTGAAGAGCACGACAGTGTGACAGAAAATAAATTCTCCCTGGAATTAGGGAGAGTGATCCTGGCTAGGGTGGTGTATAACTCAGGAGAGGGTTGTTGCTGGATACTGGAGTATCCATTGGCTCTGGGCTCTTATCCTAATTAAAGCATTGGATGGAGACAACTGATGAATACAGAAATTTCATTTATTGAAGATAAAAGAAGTAAAAAGTAGAAGTGAAAAAGGAGAGAGGAAATGCTTGTTGTGTGCAGAGCAGGTCCCTGGAAGGGTAAGGAGACAGTGGGCATGAGGCCCAATGCCCTTCATCTTTTATATCCTTCTTCTGACATCAGATCCAGGTCTTTGGAAGCTGCTCTGAACTTTGATTTGATACCTCTCCTGATTGCAGGTCACACATATTATCCAGCCTCCTCTGTGGTTGACATTTCACACCTTATTGTCCAGCTTTCTTTCTGGTTCTCTATGATAGACAGATCACACCCTTTTGTCCGGCCTCCTTGCCATGCCCTAATCTCCTGCCTCAGGGTGGTGAGTGGAATAATCTGATGATACATGATTCTACTGCTGGGGAGGTAGGGGATGGTAACTACCTAGAAATGGTAATGAGGAGAAGAGGGAAATTAATACATGAGTAGGAGGGAATTGCTAAAAGAAATACTTCAAGAAAATTTTCTAGAACTGAAGGATTTGAGCTTTCAGATCGGAAAGGCCTGTTGAGTCTCACTATAGTGGATGACTATTGAGTCATACCAAGGCCTCTCATTTCGAAACTTCTAGAATATTGGCAAAAATGAGACAGTTTTAGATTCTTCCAGAGGAAAAAAACAGAGTTTGCCATTGAAGAATCAAGAATCAGAAAAGCATTGAACTTCTTTATTGCAGCTCTGGAAATGGAAGAAAATGAACAATGTTTTCAAAATTCCTAGGGACATGACTTGAACCTAGAATTCTATATCCAGGCAGTATTAGTTAATTGTGAAAGGAAAGTGAAGACACTTTCAGAAGTGCAGAGTGGCAAAAAAAATACATGTTTCATATTTCTCATAGAAAGGTACAAGAGAATGGGAGCAAGGGGGAAAAAATAAAGAAGATGTGGGTAACAGGCCGAAGGACTCAGCTCAGGAGCGAGAATAAGAATGCCCAAGCAGGCACTGTGCAGCAGACATCCAGAGTGGAGCAGATCAGAGCTCTGCAGAAGTGTCTGTAAGATGATGAATGTGACAGTGTATCTGATATATCAGGAATCAAGAGGGGTAGACCATGGAAGAGTATGATTTAAAACAATTGTTCAAAATGAAATTTAAAGCATTATAACTGCATGACAACGGAGTTGACCGAAAAACATGGCCATTCTGCACTGTATGGTTCATCTGTAAATAATGCTTTCTGAGCCATCACAGTGTAAGCTCTGAATATCAATCTAATAAAAAGTAGAAGTTGAGGGAATGGGAATTGGGTACATTTCTTTTTTTGTTTGTTTTTTATTTTTTGAAACAGAGTTTCCCTGTGCAGTTCAGAGTTTCCCTATGTGTCCTTGAACTCACTTTGTAGCCCAGGCTGGCCTCAAACTCGCAGTGATCCTTCTGCCTCAGCCTTCCCAGTGCTGGGATTACAGGTGTGCACCACTGTGCCTGGCTTGCGTACATTTCTGGAGCTGTGTTTTATGTTTTTTATGGTACTGGGAATTCAACTCAGGGCCTTGCACTTGCCAGCCAGCCACCACAATGCTAGGCTATATTCCTGGCCTCCTTTTTTTTCCCTGTCTTTTTGAGACAGGGTCTCACTATGCAGTTCAGGCTGGCCTTGAACTCACTTTGTAGCCCAGGCTGGCCTCAAACTTGCGGCAGTCCTCCTGCCTCAGCCTCTCGAGTGCTGGGATTACAGGTGTGCGCCACTTTACTCGGCCTGGAGCTGTGTTTTAGAAAAGAGATTGACTTTATTGTCTTCCATAGTGGGAAATAAATAAATAATAAACCTTTATGTTTATTTATGTTTGTATGTGTGGATGTACAGTCTGACAAAAAATGTACACACTTCAAGAAAATAGAAGCTTGTATAATATATTGTTACTCTGATACTTTGGCCTCTACAATTACAAGAGGTGCTCACAGTGGAGGCCATTAGCTTCCAGACATTTTTTAGTGTGGTACATTGCTGCTTGGGTAACCTTGGCCATTGCTGTGCGTGCGTTTTCAGTTTCTTCTCTAAGGACTGGCGGGTAGAGGGTTTTCTGCAATATGCAACATCCTGTAGGGCCCCCCATATAAGGGTATCACCATCTGTTGAGAAAACATCATACAAATTGTTTTTCCTGAAGTGTGTATGCATTTTTGTGCGCTCTCTCTCTCTCACTCTCTCTCTCTCTCCCCTCTCTCTCTCTCTCAACTGAGAGAGGGAGAGGAGAGAGAGAATAAGAATGTCATTTAGACACTTGGAGATAAATACCAAAAGAAATAGTGGAAGAATTCAAAGTGGTTGTAAACTGGTAAATGGAAATGGGATAGAGGGTAGGGACATTGGTTATTTTGTCTGTTGTTTGTTTGTTATTGTTTATTTTTGAGACAGGGTATTTATTGGTATGCAGCCCAGGCTGGCACGAGCTCACGGTTTTCCTCCCTCAGCCTCCCCAGTGCTGGGAATGCAGGTGTGAGCCGCCATGCCTGGCTGTTTTTCTTAATATGTTTTATAGGATTGTCTCTTTAATAAGTATATGGTTGGTTAAAAAAAAATGTATGTAGACATATATAAAACTCACCATATCAAAACTATAAATTCATATTCTCTTTTCTAGTACTGGGAAGAAACAATCACACATTTGTTATGTCATGTTCTGAAGTGTAACTCTGTCTGCTCTCCAAATCTCTTACCTTTAATAGAGCAGACTTTTTCTGACTTGTTTAACTGCTTGCATTTACCCAACTGGGGTTCCTGCAAAGGATTCTTCTTTAAATATAATAGGAAATAGAAACGTCTTGGGGAATGTTCAGAATAAAGGTTTGCACGGAATCCCACACACACTAACCCGTCCTCTCCCCCCACCCCCATCTTTTCTTCAGAGCACAGAGCAGTCATGGAAGCTGCGTTTGTGTATGGGACCACGTACCAGTTTGTTTTAACCACAGAAATTGGCCTTTTGGAAAGTGTCGGGTAGGTGTAAGAGGCACAGGGTAATGACTTTGTTTTTTCTTGTTCACTTACTTCACATTCTTAGTCAACATTTCCGTGGCACTCTCACAGCGTGGCTGACCTGAAGGAACCCCAAGCAGATGTGAATTTGCTCTCATCCTGCTATGGCAGGGTGGACATGTGCAGAAATAACATCAGGCTGAGCTGAGCAGGGATGGGGTGGATCAGCCACAGGAAGGGACCCATGGTGGCCAAGTGAGACATCTTAGGAGTAAATTTCCCCAATGATCAGACAGTGGGTAAAATAACAGCTTTCAGTGAAAAGCACTGGAATTTTTTTATGAGAATTTTTTTTAATTAAAAATTTTTATTAGTACATGTTTGTACATTCTCTCTTTTACATCTCTAGGTCTCCTTCCCAGTTTCCAAAAACTCTATCTTTCTGTTTTCTACCATCACTCTTTTATTTTGCTCTTCAAGTTACTTACATTTTGGTTTTCTCATGTAAGAGAAAACATGTTTGTAATACAGAATAGTGATGTTCCTTTCAGAGAATTGGCACATACATGTAACATATCTGATCACTTTCAGTCTCTTTACTTCCTTCTCCCTTTCTTCTCCCCTCCTCCAGTCTCCTCCTCCATCTTCCAAGAGCCTACTTTCTGATCCTCTCTCCATTATTTTATTCATTTATGTATATTTTAGGTTTTCATGTAAGAGAAAGGTTGAGATATTTAACTTTCTGAATATGGGCTTATTTCACTTAGCACGGTAGTCTCCAGTTTCTTCTGCTTCCCAACAAATGACATGATTTTATTCTTCTTTATGGCTGAGTAATACTCCATTGTGTATATATACCACACTTTCTTTATCCATTCATCCATTGACAGGTATCTAGGCTGTTTCCAGAGCTTAGCTACTGTGAATTACATCATTATAAAATGGGTATGAATATATCACTACAATATGATGTTTCTAATTTTTTAAGGAATATAATCAGGAGAGGTATGGCTGGTCAAATGGTATGTCCAGTTTTATTTTTTTGAGGAATCTTTATATTTCTTTCCATAGTAGCTCTACTAGTTTGCCTTCCCACCAATGGAGAAGGCTTCTTTTTTTTTCGTATCCTAACCAGCATTTGTCACCTCCTATATTCTTGATGAGAGCCATTCTGACCGGGATGAAATGGAATCTCAGTGTAGTTTTGTTTTGCATTTTCCTGATGGCTAAAAATGTTGAACATATTTTCATAAACTTATTGGTCATTTGTACTTCGTTTGAGAAGTGTCTGTTCAGTTCATTTGCCCATTTTTTAACTGGGTCATTTGTTTTGGGGGTTTAATAAATATTTTGAGTTCTTTTTCTAGTCTGTATCTCCATCCTTTGTCAGAAAAGTAGCTAGCAAAATTCTCCCATTCTGTAAGTTGTTTCTTTACTCTGGTGATTTTGTTTTTTTAAAAAAAACTTGATGTAATTCCATTTGTTGATTCTTAATACTATTTTCTGTGCTACTAGAGTTCTACTGAAGAAGTCCTTCCTTTCAAATATTTCCCTTATGTTTTCTTCCAGCAGTTTCAAAGTTTCTATTTTTATATTTAGGACTTTAATCCATTTTGATTTGATCTTAGTTCAGCATGAGAGATAGGGATCTAATTTCAATCTTCTGTAAATAGACACCTAATTTTTCAAGATCATTTTAGGGAAAAAAGGCTGTTTTTTCTCTTATCTATGTTTTCCTCCCTTGTCAAAAATCAGGTGGCTGAAGGTGCATGGGTCTGTTTTGTGTTTTTATCTACATATCTTTTTTTGTGTGTCAGTAGCATATTTTTGTTACTCCAGCTTTTTAGTGTAACTTGAAACCTGGTATTGTGATGTTTCCAGCTTTGTTCTTTCTACTCAGGATTGCTGTAGCTATTCAGGGTCATTGTTTTGATTCAAAATGAACTTTAGGATTGCTTTTCTTGTTCTCAGAAGACTATCATTGGAATTTTCATGGAGATTGCATTAAATTTGTAGATCCCTTGTGGTAATGTGGACATTTTATCTTTTATTTGTTTTATTTATTTGTTTTTTTACCACATATATAACTTTTTTGTTAGTATATGTTTGTGATAAATAATAATTACATTAGTGTGGGGGAATTGGTATATATACTCTTGATCATTTTTTATCTCCTTTATCTCTCACCATTCTCTCTCTCACATCTCTAGATCCCCTGCCCAATTTCCAAAAACTCTATCTTCCTATTTTCTACCATCACTCTTTTATTTTGCTCTTTAAATTACTTATGTTTTGGTTTTCTCATGTAAGAGAAAACATGCAATATTTAACTTTTTGTATCTGTTTGCTTTCACTTAACATTATGGTCTTAAGAGCCATTTTTTTCCTACAAATTTATCCTTCTTTATGGCTAAGTAATACTCCATGGTGTATATACATCACATTTTCTTTATCCTTTATCTATTGGTGGGTATGTAGGCCATTTCCATAATTTAGCTGTTGTGAATTGCATTGCTGTCAACACGGGTATGCATGTATCACTGTAATATGTTAACCATATCATTCTTTCAGCACAATACACAGCAAAAGGCCAGGTGTGGTGGCACATACCTGTAATCCCAGCACTCAGGAGGCTGAGGCAGGAGGATCACTGTGAGTTGGAGAGCAGCCTGGGCTACAAAGTGAGCTCAAGGCTAGGCTGCACTGCATAGTGAGACCCTGTCTCAAAAAGACAGAAAAAGAAAAAATAATACCCAGCAAAGTATAGCTGGGTCAAATGGAATTTGTGTGGTTTTAGTTTTTTGAGGAATCTCTATACGGGTTTCCAGAGAGCAGTTACACTAGTCACTAGTTTACATTTCCACAAAGAATGTAGATGGGTTCCTTCCTCCTCACAGCCCTGCCAGCATTAGTTACCCCTTGAGTCCTTGATGAGAACCATTCTGAGTGAGATGGAATCTCAGTGTTGTTTTGATTTGCATTTTTCTAATGGACAGAGATGCTGAATATATTTTCATGTGTTTCGTGGTGTATGGCCATTTTAATGATACTAATTCTGCCAATTCAAGAACAAGTTCCATTTCCTAATGTCTTCTTCAATATTTTTCTTCAGAGTTCTGTAATTTTCATTACAGAGGTGGTTCACCTCCTTGGTTAGGTTGATTCCTAGGTGTTGATTTGTTTTTGAAGCTATGTGAATAGAATTCTTTCCAATTGTTTTTTCAGTGAGTGGTACAAGAACACTGGATTTTTGTGTGTTGATTTTGTATCTTGTTTGTGAAATTTTTGTCAATTACTTTGACATTCCAATCCTAAATGTTTTTAAGTAGTGTTTGTTTATTTGTTTTTATTTTTGTCTTTTTGACATAGGGTTTCACTATGTAGTTCAGGCTAGTCTTGAACTCACTTTGTAGCCCAGGCAGGCCTCGAACTCATGGTGTTCCTCTTGCCTCAGCCTCTTAAGTGCTGGGATCACAGGCCTGTGTCACCACAGCCAGCTGAGTACAGTTTTTTAAACAGAATGTTTTAATGTTCATTTTTCTTGTCTAGGTTGTAATTCTAGGTAGAAAAACTACTTTTCAGTGTTTTTGGCTGGGTATTCTCTAGGTAAATTTGCTCTTTCATTTAGTACTTAAGGACACAAGCAGTAACCAGTGTATTTTAAAACTAAATTTGACTTCAAACTGCCCTTCAGAAAGGGCAAGTCAAAATGGTAATTAACCTTTTAATGCCATGTGTCAACTTTTGAAGAGCCTACTGACCTCTCAGGACATAATGTCTGTTTGATACACTATACATAATTGTTTAAGGCCCCTAATGTTTTACAACTCTGAAAGTCTGGAGGCTGATGTACACAAAACTGAAAATGATCTGAGGCGAAATGATTTGGGGCTCAGGGTGAGTGAAGAAAAATGTTCTTATGAAGTTACATTTTTTTTATTGCCCTGTATGCCATTAACCTGCACTCCTCTTTCCAGGGTTCTCTCCTTATTGGCATTCTGCTGGTTCCCTCATTAATGACTTAAAAATTTAAAGCATGCTCACAGTTTGTGTGAGAAATACGTTTCTAACACTGTGAGACTTTCACTAACAGTACCATAAATCTTCGCTGTAAGTAGTCACTGGAGTCGCAAGATACAAAAAGCAGTCGTTAGAGCCCGCCACTGTGCTTCTCTTGTTACCTGCCTTCGTTTCCAGCAGAGAAAGCCTTGTCTGTCTGTCTGTCTGTATCTTTCTGCCCCGCTCTCCCTTCCTCCTTCTCTCTGACTTAAAAGTAAAACATGGTATTATTCTGGAAGTTTTTTCCCTTTTTCCCATTTCTAGAATTGAAAATACAGCTGGCCTGTTTTGTTACTTTTGAGTATTCGGTATGGGGGATGTTTGAATTATCATTTCTTCATGAATAACAAGATAATGAGGAGTCATATCTGGACCTGATGTGACTGAGTAGGACCATGTGTTCTGAATATGGTGGTCCTGTGACGTGCCTTCTAGATAAAGTGGTTAGCTATGAGTGGCTTTTCTAGTAATGGGGGTGAGGTGAATGCTTTCTTTTTGTTCATTCTTTCATTCCACTAATATTGAATGACTTGTATGTGGGGGGCATTATTATGGTTTCTGGGGCTATACAATGGATAAGATGAGTATATTGATTACTATATCATGTTGGGCCTGAGTTTTTTTTTTCTTTTTTTTTTGGTCTTTTTTTTTTGGTCTTTTTGAGACTGGGTCTCGCTATGTAGTTCAGGCTGGCCTTAAGCTCACTTTGTAGCCCAGGCTAGTCTCCAACTCCCAAAGATCCTCCTGCCTCAGCCTCCTGAGTGCTGGGATTACAGGTATGTACCACCATGCCCAGTGGGCCTGAGTATTTTTGAAATTATGTAGCAGTTCAGGGTGTGTAAGATGGATAGTAAAGCAGTTAGTATGCTGTAGAGACATAAGTACTTTCTGCTGCCTCTCCATATGCCTTCTTTTTACATTTTTTAATTTAAAACATTTTTATTGGTATAGGATTTAGTACATGTAGATAAGACATCTTAATCCTTTTCTTTTCCTTTGGCCCCTTCCCTGTCCCTCCCATCTCAATATTTCTCCTGTGTAGAGTCCGTGTAGGTCACGAATGGTATTATTATCTTCACATCCACACAGGTCAGTGAGTTAAATCAGATGGGCGCCCCTGACCTAAGGCTGGCAGATCCACTTCTGAGAAAACGAGCTCCTCTCTCTTAGGGGTCTTGGATTTGATGGGGAGAAACTGGATCCTGCAGTTCCCTACGGCTGTCTTGCTCACTGGAGTTCTTCCCCAATTACAGAAAAAGCAGCGAAGTGTCTTCACAGAATGAGTTGGAAGCTGAAAAGTGAGAATGGCAGGATGGAGGCCCCTGAACTCCTGCTGTTCGGGTCTCTGTATAGAATGTATAGATTTCTCTCCTTATTTGTATTTTCTGATCGTTATTTGAATTTTCCTTGTATTCCGTGAGATATTCTTCTAAACTTCACCTAAGTTCTCCTCACTTTGGTTTCTGTTACCTGCAAGCAAGTGACCCCTGATTGAAGAACTTTCTCAAATTATTTTATAATTTCAGAGATTTTAATATGGAGTTCAGTCTTCACTGAGATCTTCTGCTCTCAGTGCTTTCCTTCCAGCAGGATGTGACGGTTCGGGGCTCTTCTCCAAAAGTCGTATACTGTCACTGAGCCTTCGATATATTACTGCTTTTATTTGAAATGTCCATTTTTCCTGTCCTGGAGAATCCATTCTCTCCTCTCCTGCTTTTGAAGTTTTTTGATCTTCTTTCCCTTTCCTTTCTTTTCCTTCCCAACCTGAGGTGGAATGGAATATGTCTTTGTTCCTTGTAACATTTTGTACATTATAGCACTAATAAACTATACTTTAATTGTTTTACTAAATTGTCCTCTTTCGTTTAAGCCCTTCAAGGATGTGAGTTGTCTTATTTATCTTCATCTCTTGTGTTTAGCACAGAGTGTAAAATACAGCTGGCATTAAGTATATCTTTTAAGTGATTATTTCTCTAATCATTTGTAATTAAATTTGAAATCAGCGAACCTTGCACATTTAGTTTAAGCATGTCTCAAGTATTAGAAAAAATATTTTAAATATAAAATTTTTTAGTGTTTTGCTAAACTCTACTAATGCCATACAGAGATTTTTAAAATGCAGTTTTGATGTTGGCAAACCTTATTCCCACTATAAGTTTATCTTTGCATTTTCATATTGAAAGAAATGCTAAAACTTGAACTGTAAGCTGTATTTGCTGAGCTTTGTTAGTATTTTAGATATAAACTCATACACTCTCACAAACTAGCACATAGTTTTTATTTTAAGCCCTGTTTTGGTTAAAGTTTATTCAAAACAGCTTTGGGCTTAAATTAAAACTAGAAAATTTCTGTAGGATAGCTCTAGAAAAGCAACTATATTAAAAAATAATCTCATTGTCCACAAGATTGCATCCTTTTCTTGAAACACAATTACGTAGGCCTATTGTGTAACACTAAAAAGCTACCATATAAAAAGATTCAGGGGGAAAATTGCCTACATGACTCATATGGTTTGATCAGATATTGAGATTAATCTTTAACATTATAGCATGTTTTTTGGCCCAAGTTCCTTTTGTAGTAATGTTATAATCTTACTAAAACATTAATTCAGAAGCATGAATCTTAATTGTTATTTAATTGTTGTGGGGGGTAGTAGAAGGATCACACATTGAACTTCATTAAGTGGATGTCCCTGATTTTTAATTTGCAGCTCTGAGGATATAGAACACGCACATCTCTACTTTTTTCATTGTCAGCTCGTCTCGGATCTGACTCAGCAATGTAGAAGAACATTAATGGGACAGCCATTGACCACATTGAACATTCATGTGTTTGTTAAGACAATGAAAGCACCTCTGCTGGTATGTGTCTTATTTTAATAGAGCAGATAACTTGCCCATAAAATTTACTAGATTTTTACTCACAGATGTGTTTTAGTTAAATGAGTTACGTCTTTTCCTTCTTTCTTACACATACTTCTTTGATTCTGTGAGATTTAGGAGTAGTTCCTTATTAAAGACAAACTAGATGATAGACTCTTCTTAGACGTTTCAATTCCTTGATTTATTAGTCCATAACGTTATATAAGTGAAATACTCTGTGGTAGTTACAGTGACCTCTGGGCCTTGATGAGTGCTCACAGATCACAAAGACCATATTGTAGTTGAGAAGAAATCTCATTTATAAATGCTTTGATCATTGTTTGAAAACTTGGTGTATATTGGAACCGTAGGATTTCTGGGGCCCTGCTTTCCTTAGCATCAGCCTCAAAAGAATTTCACAGAAACCCACTAGGTGATGGTGATCAGTAGACTTTTCTGAGAAAGGTTAAAGGCTTGTCCTGAACATGAGTAACACTTTTAAGTAGATTTTCTCAGTACTTTTTTTTTTTTTTTTAATAAAATGCTGCATGTATTTTAAACAATGCAAAAAAGTATAAAGAAAAGAATTTAAGATGTTGTTCAATCTCATCACTCAGTAATTAGTCCTTAGATGACATCGAACTAATCATCTCTGCACCGTGTAGATACGTACAGGTAGTGTGGTGAATCCATTCATGGACCTGTCATACGGAGTGCTACCGAATTTTTTTGTTTTGTTTTGTTTTTTTCTGGTACCGGGAACCGAACTCACGACCTTGCACTTGCCAGGCAGGAGCTTTGCCGCTGAGCTAAATCCCCAGCCCCTACTACCGAATTTATCAGAAGGAAAAAACTACTGTGAAACTGGAGGGATTATGGAACTTTTGACTGATAAATGTTTTGCCATCACTAAAGAAAATACTGTCTAAAGTGTTGAAAATTACTGTATTCTGAAAAACATTGAGAAATTAAAAATCATTTAAAAACTTCATGTTTCCATCTTAAGACTAGCTTTGAAAAAATGAATTTAGCTTCATACATTCATTTTCGTCTCTCTTCTTGCTGCCTTTCTTATTTTTGTTAGTATTGTGTTATTTTTATACCTTTTAGGTCTGTAATGTTTATAGTCTGTTCTATAGCCATATTTCCCACTTTTAAAAAAGGCTTGCTTCTACATTTAAATAAATTCAGAGCTTGCCAGCAACAATTTTGCTGGCTGAATTCCTTAGTTCTTTATTTTAAGTAACTTTTTCTGTGGTTAGATTTTTTTCTTTTTGAAGAACATGCTTTATTGATCTCTCCTTTCATAAGGAAGGGGTGTGCATCTTATTTCCATGGGAAGAATAACCTCTGAATTTATTTTGATGTCCCATTTGAGAGAAGGGGCGATGGAGGAGACAATTCACTCACTGTACAGTTCTTCACCACTTCTTTCTAGTCTCATTTCTGTCTCTTCAAATAATTAGATATTAAAAATTCTCAGGATTTTGTCTAAATAATAGTAGGAGTCAGGATTATAACTTGCTGGAAACTTGGTAAAAATCTGTGTTTTTTCTTTTTTTTTTTTTGCTTTGCTTCAACATTCTAGCTTGAAAAAGCCCTTTTCCCAAAGTTTCTGCTCATGTACTTTCTTTTGCTATGTTTTAAAACTACTTTTTTTTTTTTAAGGGAAGGTGATTCCTCTGATCTCTTTGCTTTATGACATTTATTTGAATAATATAATAATAATTTTGAAGTTATAAAAGTAAAACTTTGGAGACTTCATAATGCCTTGGGATTCAGTGAAGTGTGACTTGACTTGAACGCATGACATGACAGAATTTCAGAGCCCCATTTACACTGTACTCTCTGTGAATCACAGCTCCTAAAGCCTGCATTTTGTAAACTCTAATATGAACGGTACTCCCTGGGATTATGTAATGCAGGTGACCCTCCTCACACAACGGGAGGATTAAATGGTCAAAGTGGGAAGTGGGCTTTGTTTCAACACTCTCACGAGATGATGCATAAGCATCTTTGTTTTCAAGTTTACCCCCACCCGCAACCGGGGAACTAGAATGTAGGCTTCAGGCAGAGTTTCTAGACACTAGACTAGGTAGGAAAGGCCCATAGCATGAGGCTAGGGAAGATCTAAATGGCAAAATGAATATGTTTCCACTGGCTTGAACCACTTCTGGTGCAATGCATGACTGTTGCCTTGAGTGGCTTGTACCACCCAATGGAACTGTCTTATGTTGCCCAGTGGGACAGTCATGTGTGTACCACAGGTGGTTCAGACCTGCCTGGCACCGAGGCATACTGCTCCATCATGAACACGTTAAAGATCAGTATCAGACTGGAGAGCTGAAAAGAATCCAGATCTTGGTGTGAGTATAGAAAGACTTAGCAGAGAAAGGCCAAGAAACACAGATTAGTGCACTTTTCTAGAGGCTAGGTGAATACAAAGTACAGAAAGGAGCCAAAGCCTGAAACGATCCCTTGACACTGAGGGCAGGGATGGTGGTGGTTGGGTCTTATTTCATGGGATTAGGAAGATATTAAATAGTTCTGAGCTAATTGGTCACTTTTACATTTTAGCGCTTAAAATGTTTGGCCAAACCATTATTTGAGGTTATTTTTATTCTTAAGCTATACTTGAGGTTAAACAAAGCAAGGTCAAATACTTTTAGAAAACATCCTTAGTTACTTTTTCTTGTTGCTGAGACAAAATACCTGAGGACCAAAGTTAAAGGGGGAAAGGTTTATTTAGCTCACAGTTTGTAGAGATTTCAGTCTATAATCAGCTGACTCCAAGACAGGGTGGCATGGCCGACAGGCATTGTGGAGGAGAAACAGCTCATGGCAGGCAGAAGGTAGCAAAACAAGCAAGAGACCTTAGTAGCTTTTTTCTGCCCCTTTTATATTTTATCTAGGCTACTGAGATTAGGCCAAGCCAATCGGTGGGCTGATTTAGTAATCACCCACCCTTAATTCTAGTACCCTTAATTCTAGCATTGCATCCTGAATCAATAACACACTGTAGATCTAGCCACCTCTGAAAAAGTCCTACCAATGACTGCATGAAGCTTTGGGGGGACATCTAGACACAAGCCACGACACACTTCAATAGTCCAAAATTTGGTGTTATAGGATTATGCATTCTGATAACATAATGAACCAGAAAAACCATAGAAATCCTGGAAATTGACACCTAAATTTGATAATTTCTTGAGATTCTTACCTACAAGACTTGTTGGCTGTTGAGTTAAATTATTGTTTTTCAGTTTTTCTTATTCTTTCACTGATGTTCATTCCCCTTTCTCACACTGTTAACCACCTCTCCTATCTTATTTTCCATACCAATCCATATATAAGCCTTAGAGGTTCAGTCATGGTTAGGTTTTCATATGATTAGTAAGATCTTTTGCAGAGCAGCCTGACTGGGCATGGTGGTACACAGCTGTAATCTCAGCACTCAGGAGGCTGAAGCAGGAGGCCAGTCTAGGCTGCACTGTAAGTTCAAGGCCAGCCCGGAATATGTAGTGAGACACTGTCTCAAAAAAACAAAACAAAACAAAAAGAAAACAAACAAACACACAAACTAACAACAACAACCAAAAAACCCCAGCTTGTACTCATGTATTCAGGATCTGAAGTAATTTGATATGTTTACATTAAGCTTATTAATAAGCCAACAGAAATAGAAAGTAGGATTCGTGTTTTTTTGTAAACTGTTTTCTGTGTTAAACTGTGGGTCCCAGTTAAACTCATGGGGAGAGAATTATGCAAGACTTGTTCATGAGGGGGCATGGCAGTTTTGGGGGCCATCTTAGAATTCTGTCTAACATATATAAGTATAGGATTCTGTCTGGAAAATAATTTTTACATTTTAAGTAATTGGGAAGTTTGTGAGAATGCATTTTCTTGTGCATCTACTTTGATCCATTCTGTTTGTTACTCGCTATGCTTTTTCAGCTGGGCAGCTCGTGTTGTTCAGTTGTGGGAAAGTTTTGTGTTTATTTCTGTGATGATTTCTTCCCTTCTGTTTTCTCCCTTCCCCCTCTCTGTGACTCCTGTTGTTTAGATGTTGGGCTTCTGCTAGTCCTTCAGTGTTACTTATTACCTTTTCTCTATAACTTTCCATCTCTCTTTGTTTTTTTTTTTTTGTTTTTTCATCTTTCTTTGTTTTGCATACGAGGAGATTTATCCAACTTTACTTTTCAAATCGTTATGGGTGTAATGTCTTTCCATCTCCTTGAGGGTCTCAGTGGTGGCTCTTGAACCTTTCTTCTTCCTGCATAGTCTGTGTTTCCTCCATGTTATTTATTTTTCTGTGGGTTCTGGTCTCTGTCTTTCATGATAGAGGTTTCTCTCAGGTGCTTATTAGTCCTTGGATATATTTGTTCATGGTACATAATTTAAAATTTAAAAAGTTGATTGGAAATTAGATTGCTGGGACTTGTTGACCTGGCTTTGTAGGGTGATTTGGCCTGGGCTACCTTTTAAGGAACTCCCATGGTCATTATCTTTAGGCTATTGTAGATTATTCAAGATCCTGCAAAAGCCATCTTCCAATCTTGCGCTCAAGGACAGAAGTGTGGCTACTAGCATTCTGAGAATGGAATGGAGAAGGGCTTTGGGAGGCATCTTAACATTCCATTACTTAATCATGCCAATCTGGATATAGTGTCCACACGCTCAACTATTTCTGAGGTGCTCAGATTCCTACTGGCATGGAGGGAGAATCACTGCCTAAACTCATGGAGCTGGGAAAGAGACTCTAGGGATCTAGCTCCTTCTTAAAACCTTTGACCTACAGTGTGTTTTTGGTCCCTTTTTCAAAAATCAGATGGCTGAAGGTGCGTGTTGTTTCTTTGTCTTCTGTTCTGTTCCATTCCATTAGTCTCCAGGTCTGTTTTTGTTATTGCAGGTTTGTAGTATAACTTGAAGTCTGGTATTGTGATACCTTAGGCTTTGCTTTTTATGCTCCAAATTGACCAAATTAAGAAAGAATAGGCAAATGAGCTAAATAGACACTTCTCAAAAATGTAGTACAAATGGCCAAGAAGTATATGAAAAAATGTTCAACATCTGTAGCCATCAGGGAAGTACACATCAAAACTGCTTTGAGATTCCATCTTATCCTGAGCACAGAAAACAGCGAATGCTGGAGAGGATGTGGAGAAAGGAACCTTCCTACCTTGTTGGTGAGAACGCAAACTGATACAGTCACTATCGAAATTAGTATGGAAATCCCTCAGAAAACTAGAAATGCCATTTGACTCAACCATACTTCTCCTAGGTGTATTCCTGATAGTAGTAAAGATGCCATATTTTAGTAATATATGCATACCCATGTCTGTAGCAGCACAATTCATAATAATTTAACACTGGAAACAGCCTAGGTGCCTATCAGCAGATGAGTGGATAAAGCAATTGTAGATATACACAAAGGAATATTATCCAGCTGTAAAGAAGAGTGAAATGACTATAGGAAAGTGGATGGAACTTGAGACCATTATGCTAAGCAAAAGAAGCCAGACTCAGGAAGTTAAATATTGCATGTTTTCTATGAGAAACCTAAAATATAATAAATAAATGAATAAAACAAAGGAGAGATGATAGGAAACTAGAAGGTAGACTTTCAAAGATAGGGCAGGGGTTCTAGGGGAGGGGCCCAGGGGTTGAAAAATGACCAAGATATTATATGCAGGCACCGGTTCCCCAAAACATCACTGTTCTTCAGTATTACAAACATGATCTTACAAACTTATAAAAAAAAGCTTTGACCTATTCCTTCTCATTTTAGAGCCTTCCTGACGTTTTCTATGTGCACAAGACACTGACAGTTCCTGGCTGTTTTAGAATTCTGCAGTTAAAATTGAGTCATTTCTTAGCTTTTCCTCTCCTGGCTCAGGGTTTTGTTCATAGCAGAACCATGTCAGCGACTGTTTTGTATTCTAGCCTCCAAATATTGCTGCCTCTTGTTTTTTCTGTGTTCAGTGATGTATTTTTATATCTTTTTTAACTCCTGTGGTTTCCCTTGGATTTCTAGAGGGAGAGAAATTAGATACGTGTATCCAATCTGCTGTTTTATTTTAGATGTTTCTTGTTTTATAATGTGTCATTTATCATCTATTAAATTGTTATATGAGAACATTTATGTTTTATCTGTTCTATTTCCTTTGAAATATTTACCTCAAGTGGTACCACATTCTTTTATTTACTTTTGTTTCCTTATAATATGCCTGATTTGTGGTTATAATTTTATGTTTAATTCCTTATATAATTTCTTGGTTTTATAATGTTTAATTACATAGGTACATGGAAGCATTAAATTTAGAAAATTGTGAGATTTTTTATTTTTTATTTTTTTTTTTATTTTTTGGTTTTTCTCTGGTACCGGGAACCGAACTCACGACCTTGTGCTTGCCAGGCAGGCGCTTTGCCACTGAGCTAAATCCCCAGCCCCGAGATTTTTTATTAATGTTGAGTTTACTTCACCGAGTTGGTTTTCAATCATGACTTTATTAATATGAATTAGGATTTAAATCCAAATGCTGGAACATTAGATTCACACAGTGAAGGCATTTTGTTCTTTTATTTTAAATAAAGACCGAAGTTGCTGAAGATCCTCAGCAAGTGTCAACTGTTCATCTCCAACTGGGATTACCACTGGTTTTCATTGTGAGCCAGAAAGCTACATATGAGGCTGACAGAAGAACTGCAGAATGGGCCGCTTGGCATCTCCTAGGAAAGGCCGGAGTTCTACTCTTGTTAAGGTATCTTCCACATTGAGTAGCCACTATCTTAGCAAAATGCTAGTATCTTTCAAAAAACCTCCAATCTTGGCTAGATCCCAGTACTGTTAGAACTGATGGCGGAGCTGAAGTCTGCACATTGTTAGTTTGATCAGATGACCGTGGAGACTAGACAATGCGGTATGTATTTGTACATGAAATTTCTTAAACTCACTAAATTGTAATCACTTTTCATAAACATTTTTTAGCGTAAGAATTTATAGTTCTATTTTAGATTGACCTCCCAGATGACTGTTATTCTTCAGATTAGCAACATAAAACATGTATTTCCATTTTGAAAAAGGGATTCTTTGGAAGTGAACATTCCTCAGCATACCAATGTGGTCTTCAGAAGAGCAGAAAAGGTTAGTCGCTTTTTACACTGACCTCTAATGTCAGCTTACTTAAAGAAAGTACATGTAGTCCTGAAGAAATACGTGTTTTTCGTGGAAAAAGAAAATCTGCAAGCTAGGCATGGTAGTGCATTCGTGTAATCCCAGCAGTCTAGGAAGTTGGGTCAGGAGGATTAGGAGTTTTAGCTCAGCCTGGGCAATTTAGCTGCTTGGCAAGACCCTGTCTCAAAATAAAACACAAACAAACAAACAGGCAACAGAGGCTGGGGACGTGGCTCAGTGCTAAGAATAGAATACGCTTTTCTGTGAGTTGCATTATGAAGTTCAATGCAATTCTTTTTAGCTTCCTCTTCAGGGCAATAATGTTGATCCTGAGACTGTATAATCATTCTTTCTCTCTCCCTTTCCTGTGTCCCTCCAGGCAGTGAGCTTGAGTATCACTAGTAGTACTTGTTGCACAGATAGTATTACAGACATAGTGCTATATTACAAGCCTTATAATGTATGATAACAGTTATAATGAAAGTATCATTTTAGTTTTTAAGTTGTTTTTTCTCTATGATAGTGATTAGCAGAACAGGGTTAGGTATTTAAGCCTTAGAGTCCTATTGCCTAGCTCAAATCCTGCTTTGTAACTCTGGGAAAATTACTTCTGTTCATCTCCATATTTTCTATTATAAAATAGGGGTAATATTACCTATTGAAAAGGGTTGTTAGGTCAGAATATTAAATGAAGTAATGTACTTACTTAGCTCTGGGTCCAACATTGTTAGTGCTAATAAATACTAAATAATAGTCATTCAAGAAATGTTTACTAGGTACTTCCATTGTTTCAGGCATAGTTCTAGGCTCTGAGGATCCAGCTGTGCAAACCAAGTTTTACCCTTGTGGTGTGACTGTATTAGTAGCAGGAAACAAAAAAAATATGACTGGAATATCAGATGGTGTTGAGGGTGATGGAGGAAAACAAATTGAGTTAAGGTCAGAGGGTAGTCACGCATGCCATCTTGGAAAAGTGACAGTAAAGTAAAGGAACAAACCTATGGATATGTGGGGAAAGAATGTTCTACATGGAGAGAGCGCAAGAGGCCTTGAGGAGGGGCGTGGCTTTGGTGTGTTAGGATAGTATTGTGAGGCACAGTGTTCCTGCCTGGAATCTTCCTTCACATCTGCATTGTTACACACCGATGACCTAACTTCTTCCACCAGCCCCACTTTCTAGAGTTCGCCACCCCCCACATGCTCTGCAGTCTGGCAGGCTAACCTTTACACCCATGAGCCTTTGGAGACGTTTAATGCAAAGCATAGCACTAAGTTCATAAAAGCCCTTTTTATCCCTTTCTGAAACATATTATTATGAAAAAAATTAAATGTTCAATAGAAGATAGAATAAACAGCCATATACATAGCACCTAGATTCAACTGTGAACATTTTGTCTTCTTTGCTTTAGCTATAATTTTTCTGAAACTTTAAAAGAATGTTACAGATAATATGACATTTTACTCATAAATATGTAGCATGACTCTAAAAACTATTATTATCCTATGTATATAAAATCTTGTTATAAATTTATAATTTTTTTTTGAGACAGGGTCTTTCTGTGTAGTTCAGGCTGGGCTTGAACTCACTATGTAGTCCAGACTGGTCTCAAATTTGCAGTGATTCTCCTGCCTCAGTCTCCCAAGTGCTGGGATTACATGAGTGTGCCACTATCCCTGGCCTTATAATAATTTCTTAATATGATAGCTTGTTCTCTAAGCAGTCTATATTTAAATTTTATCATCCTAAAATTATTTTCTAGAAATAGTTTTTTGAAAGGAAAATCCAGTCAAGGATTATAAATTGTATTTGCTATGTTTCCTAAATCTCTTAATATCTTAGATTTCTCCTCCTTTTTTCCCTTAAGACAATGGCTTTTCATATAATGAAATGGGAATAGGTTTTCTATATTCTAGATTTGTCTGTACTTTTTTTTTTCCTTTTTGTCTATCTTGTTCTTTATTCTCTTGTATTTTCTATAAGCTAGATTTAGAGTTGATTAGCTCCATAGAACATTTTGGGTAAGAAAACAGTTTGAGCAAGCATATATATTAAGGACGATTTGCTAATCTAATGGCCTAAAATTTCATGAGTGTAAAGTGCAGTAGTTGTGCATTAATGAATACAATCTTAGTGGAATAATGTTGATCTCAATGGAATAAGAATATGATAAGATATTCTTAAACTACCTGAGAATGTGCTTTTTCTTGGAATTATTTTAGATGAAGTATTTTTTTATTTCTGTGGAATATAAAATGACCAATCCCAATTGGCTGTATTTGCAATAAAATGATGTTTCCATTCTATCTTGAGTTAGGATTTGATATTGTATGTGAAACATTTCATAGACTTTAGGATAGGAAGCTGTGACAAAAAGCAAGTGAGACAATTCCCTTTTTCGTCATATTTTTTAGTAGTGTACACCATCTTTATATAAGTATGCTTTGCATAAAGTAATTGGTAACTGTAGAGTTTTCTTTTTTGTTTTAATTTTAAAAGTGAAACTCAAAGGGTTAGTTTCATTTTAGTGTCAAACAAGTAAGACACTGAAACGCTTTGCTATATTTTAATGATTTAAAAAATTAACATATTTCTAGGAAGTGCCAGTGGAATTTTTGGTGTTACCTGATGTTGATTCCATAATTTCTCATGTGGAAAATAATACACATATGGAGGAAATACCAGAAAATGAAGATAATGACATAGAAGATCCCGATATGGGTAATAGTTATAATACTTACCACCCCGCTTCCTGCCAACCCCTGCAAGGTCAGTAAGCTTTCCAGTGGGTTACCTTTCTCATAGAAAGTCTTCACATTCAAGAGGCTGTGAAGAGACCTGGAGAAATTTGTTTTGAAGCACATTGTACCAAGTTGCTTAGGTAAAAGATATAAGGATACTGTTCTGTTTAGTGTATATGTGTATGGTTATGTCAGGCTCCTGGGTTCCTGCATCTGTTTTTATCCTCTGAACCAGTTCTCCAGCCGACTCCATGTTTGGCCTACTCCATGTTTAAAAACTCCACTCAGGAGCCACAACATATTTCGTTTTTATTATTCCTTATAGGAAAGGAAGTTGTGTTTGTAGTTTTAAATGAATCTGATTGCTGGTAGTATAGTGAATAAATTTTGATAGTGTTTTAATATTTCTTTTAACAGTTATTTCGGTTAAACAGTTATTTCCGTTTTTTTATTTGTCTTATTGCTTACATTTATGAAGTATTTTATGGCTCTTGCCCAGGATAATTTTATTATCCTCCAAGTTAACTGGTGTCACCCTCATTTTATAGATGAGGCGGCTGTGTCTGCAGAGTTGTGTGACCCGCCCACGGTCACCCAAGTGAATGTAGTGGTGCCTGGACTAGAATTAAAGCATCTTGACATAGAACTTCTTTATTATCTTTATTATTCTGGTATCTTTTCTCATAACATTAATCCTGTTCTATGATTGCTCACTTCCTTTTCTTTCTTCTTCACTAGTCTATAAATAACCTGTTAGGGATGATGTGTTGCTTACTTTTATGTCTCCTTTAGTAAGTACTTGAGTGTTTTATATACAAGGAGTCACCAAAAAATATGGTGAATTTAAAAAAATTATTACAGTAAAAGACATTGCTATTAAGCCCCCTCAAAATGCTCCTCCTTGCTTCAGACACGTTATGTCATCATTCTTGCCACGCTGAGCAGCAGTTCTGGAAGCCCTTCTTTACCAGTGTTTTTATAAGATGTGATCAGAAATGTGGTGAGTGCTGCCCCCAAATGCCATCCAACAGAAAGGCAGGTTTGTAAAAACATTTCAGTGTGTTCTCGTCCCCCTTAGACACCAGATCTGACACCGTGTGACTTCTTGCTCTTCCCCAAAGTCAAAATGACCATGAAAGGGAAATGTCTTGAATTGATTCAGGGTATCAAAGTAGCCACAAAAAGAGGACTCCAGAGATGCTTCAGAGAGTGGCAAGAGTAGCGGGGTAGGTATGTTCAAAGTGAGGAGAGTATTTTGAGGGGGATTAGTGGCAATGTATCTTTTACTGTAATAATTTTTTAAATTCGTCAGTGGTTGTTATACTGTAGATTGTTGTCTTCAAAGTAGTTGTTCAGATTACCAGATACAAGCATGCAAAACTGGTCAAAAAAATTAAGCATTAACTATACCTTTTAATAAATGAATAGAAATTAGTAGAACGATTATCTTAGCCATCTTCTGTATATATATGTATATTTTTTTCCTTCTCTCTTTTCTCCTTTCCTTCATCTCAGTTGTTCTTTCTTTTTGAGCAGTTTCTTTCCCTTTCACAATATCTATTGTACCTTTCAGATTTTATTGACTCTTTCAGCATCTTACACTAGGGAGACAATGTGATGTTTACACATGCGGGTCTGATTTATTTCATTTATGAGTATGGTCTCTAGTTGCATCCATTTACCTATAAAAGCCTTGAGTTTATCTTTCTTTATAGCTGAGTAATACTCCATTGTATTAAAAAATTTAAATACCAGATTTTTTAGTCCTACCACATAGTATCATTATCATGAGTGCTGAAAAAGCAATTTATACACTATTTTCATGAGGCTTATCCATTGTTAAGATCAAAGCCCACATTGTATATTTAATTAGAGCTTTAATCATGAACCGGTGACCAGTTCCTGGTTTGAGCTCAGCTCTAGCTTCTTTTTGATCTACATGGGTTAGAATTGCTTGTTTTCCTCTCTGGAGTTCGCCATAGCTTTGGGATAACTTGGGCAGACCTAGGTTCTGGTTTCTTGTTCCCTGAATTATTGCTTTTTGGTTCCCTTTGTATCCTTCCCATTTACATTATCCTTCCCAGGAATACTAGAAGAAGTTTAGGGAAGAATTTTTTACCATCTGTGAGTAGAACTCAAAGGCAAATGTTTTCTAAAGGAATGGCCAAGGCGTCAATCAGAATGAAAAAGTTTGGGTTCTACAAAAGGGCAATATAGTAAAAAGAAAAAGGAAACATGTATAAGGAGTGTGTATGTATTGATGAATAGGTGAAAGAACTACAGAGTAAGTTTAACAGAGGAGGTAGCTTATTAAGAGAGAAAACTACAGTAAAGAGGGAAGGGAGGTGTTAGAATAAAATAAGAGAATAAGGCATGAGCTGGGAGATAAGAAGAGACTGATAGAAATGAAAATATGAGTTGTGATTTAAACCATAATATATTTCAAACACATCTCACATAAATAAGAAGGAAAAAACCATAAAATAACTAAGAAACCTGACTTCTAATTTTGGTATTGAGGACATACCTTCTTAGCATCATGGAATGTTGTGTTTCAAAGTATTTTAATGGCCGGGTGTGAAGGCACACCCTGTAATCCCAGTACTCGGGAGGCTGAGGCAGGAGGATCGTTGTGAGTTCGAGGCCAGCCTGGACTACAAAATGAGCTCAAGGATAACCTGAGCTGCATAGCAAGACCCTGTCTCAAAAAGACCAAAATAAATAAATAAATAAATAAAATAAAAGTTCTTTAATGTAGTGTAACTGTTAAAATTCAGAGTTGAGTATTTAACATTGAGTATTCAACTGAAAGAGTTATGTGTACCATGCAGTTAGAAGATAGCTGGAGAGGGTGGTGAAATCCAGATCTAGAATTTTATTGTATAGGATTAGAAATTACATGGAAGAATGGTACTGTAAGTCTCTGCATGCATTGTCTTCCTCCTTTCTTCTTTCCCTTCTTTTCCATGTGCCATTGCAGAGAATTATGGACATACCATAAAGTAGGCAGGATAATAGAACAAATTCCTGGTATCCGTGACTTGCCGAAGTCACCATCAGCTCATGGCTTACCTGCTCTGACCACTCCCCACCCACTGTTACACATATCCCAGATAGGTAGTTGCCTCCATAGGTACTCACTTGTGTAGCTCATAAATATAAGAATTTTAAAGATATTAAGTGAGTATCATATGTCTAAAACTTTCACAGTCCTTAACGTGATCAGAGACCGGTCAGTGTTTGAATTTCCAGCAGCACCGTGCTCGTCCCTTTGGTCCGTGTGCCTTCATGGCTGTGCTTCTGTCTGCCTGCGTTTTCCCTTTAACAGCAGGCTGGTACAGACTCTTCCAGGAAGCTTTAATTGTCTCTTACCAAGTTAGATGTCCCTTGTAAATTACTATGCAAATTTTATAAACTTCCAGTAGCATATTTACAAATTGAAAGTGTGGGTTTTTTTCTTACCATATCCACAGATGGATCCATGATCTAACGATGTATCAAGCTGTTGATTAGTCTACCTAAGTTAGTGGAAGATTTTTACATATTCAGAATCTGTCCATAATTTCATGCACTTAGGATAAAGTCCAAAATTCTCAGCCCATTTGTTCCTCCTTGTCATTCTCTTCATTTAAAACATTCTTAATTTTCTATGTGGTTCACTTTAGATATTCCTAATCTAAATTTCCCTGTTGTAATCTCTCACTTATCTTTTACCTTCCTTCATGAACTGATAAGAATTTATAGTGTATTCATTGATCAGTTCATCGTTTGGCTCTTCCATGTGGTCAGTGTCTAGAGCTGTGTTTTCACCACTTGTGTTTAAAGTGCTTGGCATGTAGCAGAAGCTAAACACTATCAAATATGGATGTAGAGTCCTTGGGGATTAATAATTACTACTGTGATTAGAAACGGGACAGCAACATTTATATCATTTGTAGAGTAAAGTGAAGTAATTACTTATGGAATTAAGTGAGCTTGACATTTCTGGGTCAGAAAGCATCTCTGGGTCCTTTAAGAGTGGAAGCCATGCAACATGGAAAGTTTTCTAAATATCATACATTCCAACTAGTTAGGCAGTATGAGTTCAGGAATTTTTATAAAATGTGCAGTTTTTGATCAATCTTGCATTCTTATATCTGGTCATCTGAGCAACTTCACTGACGATAACAATATGTAATATAACAACCACTGTTAATTCCTATCATTCTGTTTTGAAGCCCTATATCATTTTTATTGTTTTTGCTTTGTCTTGTTTTTGTCTATGTTGTTGTTATTTTAAATTCTCTTTAAAATGAAAAAAGGAAATCTTCAAACACTTCCTTATGAGACGAGTTTAAGTACGTTTAAGTAGAAATCTGTGTTCACAGTCATTTTTTAAAAACATTTTAGATATTCAAGATGATGAAGTGGCAGAAACTGTTTTCAGAGATAGGAAAAGACAGTTACCTTTGGAACTGACCGTGGAACTTACAGAAGAGACGTTCAGCAGGACTGTGATGGCTTCTGACAGCATTGTGCTCTTCTATGCTGGTTGTAAGTTTGAGTCTTTCGAGGAGACTGTGTTATATAGTAGGATATTTAAAGTAGACTCAATTGCTTTCACTCTGTCTATTGCATATTGTCAGCTTTTATATGTCCTGCTGCATACTTCAGTATGGTTCAGTCCACTTACTTCTATCTGATCCTAAGGGGTGAAACTGATTGTATGTACTCTATATATGTAATGTATAAATTAAAGGTTGATGATTTAAGTAGGTATTCAACTAAATAATTTAAAAATATTATGATTCAAAGTCATGGCTTTTAATATGTTAGCAATTATTATAGATTTAAAAGAAATATATTGCTTTTGTCTTTGTAGGATAGCCATTTCACTAGGTTACGTGCAATACTTTTAGTATATGTGCTGTGAGGCAAGCACATTGCTTGCAATACTAATGCAGAAGAATGGTTGCATTGGGAACCCTTTTAGAGGTTGGACAACACTGAGTAATCTATACTATTTTGAAATAGCAATTTTGCAAAAATCCATAAGTCCATGTTTGTTGAGTATAATAAGTATGGAAGCTTTGGAAATGAATGTGTTGAAGCATCTATTGACATTTAAAAAAATTTTAATACAGGGCAAGCAGTATCCATGGCCTTTCTGCAATCCTATATTGATGTGGCGGTCAAATTGAAAGGTATTTCCTGATTGTGAGTTGTAGCTTTTTGTTAAACTGTGTCATACTAAAGATGCAGAGAACCGCATAAAATTTCAGGTTACTAGGTTTGTGTCTCCAAGGTTAAAACAGTAAATAAATTCAGAATATTAGAAATACTCAGAAGCACTCATTTTGATTATCTCATGAGACTGTGATTGCTGGAAGTAGGAAGGCCCCTGTACTAAACCTGCTCCATGCCAGTTCCTATTAAATACCAGAGATAAAAATTGATAGGTAGGCCCTAGTCTCACAGACTAATGGAAGCTGAAAGATCCCAATGTTCTTGAAGTTATATATAGTTAAACTCTTCATGGACTAGGCTATTTCTTAATAGGCAAAATATTTTTATTTTATTTATTCTAGGAAGCCTAATCTGGTGGTAGGCAAGGAAAAATTCAAGGATTGGACTTTAAATTACAATGTGTTTGACATCGTCTCAGTAAAGACATAGGGAAAAATAGGGAGGCCTGTTAGTAAAAGCGTTAGTGATGGATTAGATGGGCATAGTTTTATAGTCCTTTGACTAAAACAGAATGTATCATGTTTTGTGTCTGTAATATGATTTTCTCCTTCCCTTTTTATCTTGTAACTAGATCCTGTGATAGTTAAACAGGCTTATTATTCTTGCCTATTCTGGGAATGCTATCCAATATTTAGTTTTGTATTTGTACAAAAAAAACAGCCCAAGACTTGCTTTCCTTTTTATTCAATATGTTCTTCGTGAATAACAATCCTATTAGTAGTTAGAAGTCAGATAAATAAATTACTTTCAAAGTTCAGGGTGGAGCTTAAAGTTAAGATACATGGTACAAATAACTGTAGTGTTTTGTGTCTGTATTGAAACCTAGTTTCAGTGTTAAGTGTCCCTTGCCTGAGATGCTTGGAACCAGAAATGTTTTGGATTTTCTCAGAATTAGGGTATTTGCATCTGTATAATGAGGTATCTTGGGGTAGGACCTAAGTGTAAATACAGAATTCATATATATTTCGTATACATACTATCCACATAAGATATTTATGAAGATAAATTTATGTAGCATTTTTATGCACCTGGATTTTCGCTGTTATCTCCCACACAGGGTTAGGTGTAGAATTTTTTATTTATAATATTTAATGTTGACAGTCAAGAAATTTCAGATTTTTGAAGCACTTTGGATTAGGAAAATGTTGTAGTACTTTGGACATTAATCCTATAATCTTTCATATTGACTACTTGGGAATAATCCATTTTTCATCTCTGGTTAAAACAATGAAGAATTATTTTTTTCTCAGTCACAAGGTGGCAGCAAATGTCAAATTTTTGTACTTACATAGTATCTGTAACAAAGAATCTTTTTTTTTTTCCTTAAAATTAGGAGTTCTGTTTGAAATTAATGCTTTGATAAGGTATATGGATCTAATACTGTATATGTCTCAGAATAATAGACTATTCAGATTGAAATATAACACTGAAACCATTTTATAGAAAATAAAAATTTTAAATTATTTCAGTATAAGCAGCCTTATAACTTTTTATTAACATGTGTCAGTATTCTTTTTCCAGACTTAAATGTAACATCAGGGTTTTCAGTTTTATAGAGATGAAATACTATCAACATTTTTAACAGAGGTAGGTGTGTTGATGATGCTAATGGGAGAGAGAGATAACTGGTGTGTGATGCACCACATTCCGTGCTCAGCTGGACAGAATGTTACGGTCATGTGAACGGTCATTGCCATATATTTACTGATGACAGGAATAAAGAATAGGAGAACTTAAAAAAAAGAATAGAAGAACTTCATAGAGAAGTGACTTAACAGGTTTGATTTTTAGAAAGAATAATGACTACTTTTTGTTTAAATGTTTATAAGATACTCAGGTATTGATATATTTTTAAAAATTTAAATTTGCTTGTGAAGAAATACCAGTATACATCCCCTACATTTTCGCTGAGTAGATACTGTACAATGGATGTTGGGCTGAGCACCGGGAATTTCACGGTGACTTAGATGTTGTTTGTGTTATCAGTGCCAGCACTAAACATGAAGTGATGAGTTTTTGCCCCTGTGAGGTATAATCAAGAATATTTAAACTATAAAGATGAGTTTTCATCATTGAAAACTTTTGGTAGTGAACTATTACATTTTAAATTTGCATCATATGGTGAAGTTACACTTAGACTGTATCTTAACCTGATACAGAGATTTCTTATTTGATTTAATATGATACTAAGGTTTATTTCTTATTAGAATTTCTTTCTTCCTTTTGGTAGCTAGACTATTAAGATTGAAATAGGAGTAGATGTTGAAACCATTTTACAAAAAGAAAATAAGCATTTTAAGATAGTAACTTCTCTATAGGCAGCTTTATAACTTTTAAATATTTACTTGTTCTATTTGGTTTTTATCTCATTTCACTCTGATTTACATATTTTAGAGAAATTTACATATTTTATTATATAGAAAAAGTAGGAATTTGTGCATTGGATTCCACCATGCAGTGCTTTAAACTGAAAAGAAATGCAGTATTTAACTAGGGATGGGTTTCTGAAGCCCTAGATGAGTTTCGTGTACGTCATTTATCACTGATACTGAGAGTAAATGGGGAGTGAAACAGACAGTCCCTTCTTTCAAGGGCCTCCTGGCAGAGACGGACATTAATCAGATAACCGTGTGAATGAGTACCTGACCGCTCAAGGAGATAAGGAAAGCCGCGTGGCTTTGTCAGAGATGTATCGGAAGGCGCTGAAGTAGACACACATCCAGAGACGGACGTAGCTCCACAAAGCTTAGGTGTGGGGAACTGGGACCCAGACAGGGTCGAGAGAGTGCTGACACCAGAACAGATCTGAGATTTGAAAAGGTAACTTTAGTACTCGTTATTGTAGAGACATTGAATTCAGGGAAGTGAACTAGAAGCGTACGGTATTTATTTTGTAGAAATACAACACAGTAAAGAGAAAGGGACAGTAGTCAGAGGCATTTAAAATTTGGGTGGTAGAATTAAAAAGGCATACTAATTGATTAGACACGGGGCCTTAGGAACGGGGAAGCATGAAAAAGGATGCTTTACTTTCTGCATTGCACAAGAGTAGCAGCCTTCACCGATAGACCCAGGAAAGAAACGATGTTTTAGACTTCATTGGATTTGAGGATGATTCCATCAGGAAACAGAGAAAGCTGTTAAAGATACATAGATCTGAAACTTCAAGGAGGGGCCAGGGCCAGAGATACAGATTTAGGATTCATTAGATTATTCATGGTTATTGACATTATCTAGGAACTGAGTCTAAGACAATTTAGGCAGAGCCGGAGGAACTCCCGACTTCACTAACAGAAACCCCCTCAAAAAGGACCAAAGAGAGAAGCTAGAGAGACAGGGGAAAAGCTGAGGGGGAAGGTGTCACAAAAATCAGAGGAAGAGTATTTCAGCAGAAATCTTTCATGCTGAGAGGTTAAAATAAGAACAGGATAGGAAGATACTGAACGCTTAAGCAGATGGCTACATTAGTATTTGTTTTAAAACATGCATTTTCCTTTAATTCAGGCACGTCTGCCATGCTGCTTGCTAGAATAAACTGTGCAGATTGGTCTGATGTGTGTACTAAGCAAAATGTTACTGCATTTCCTGCTGTAAAGCTGTACAAGAAGGGTGAGAACCCTGTATCTTACGCTGGTGTGTTGGGAACTGAAGAGCTCCTGAAGTTTATCCAGCTGTAAGTATTTAGCTTCGCTTAAGGTTTCTGTGTTTAGGGGTGTGTGTAGAGGTTCTGATTCTCATGATCTGTTGATTACTTCGAATAGATGAGGGCATTTACTAGACTCGATCACAGTAAATATTCATAAAAAGGGTCTGTCTTTGTACATTTGATCACTTCTGGAGAAATACTTTGTTTATCAAAGCTGATTTTTTTAAAGAATAATTATTTTTATTTTGTCAGAATTTATCTTGTGTAATAAATTGGTGAATTCAAATATTTCTAACAAACTGAAAAAATTTTTGAAAATTAAATTTGAATATAGTTATATATTCATCCAGCAACAGGATCTCATGTCCAGTGAATATAACATCAATCCAAGAAGCAGAAGAATATTTAAATGGGGAATTATATGAAGACCTGATTACCTACTCTAGCTTGTCAGTACTGGGACTATTTAGTCCAACCATGACAACAAGTAAGTAGAGTTGAGCTTTTAAAATAGAGATTGCATAATTAAACACTCATTGCCTCCAGTTTTTTCTTTTTTAAAAGAACTTTAAAAGTATGGAGAATTATGAGGAAAAAATTAAGCTGTAAATGCTGTTAAATTTTTGATGTCACTCTGTATTTTTTCTGCACACCTGTGTGTTAATTATATCCTTGTATATGTTCAGTGTAATTGGGCTAACACTGTGTACTAAGTTAGTATTTTTCTATTTTTATTTTATTTAACATGACCTTGGTATATTTTCCTATGTGATTAATATTCTTCATAAACATCATGGCTATATAATATTTGATTGAATGAATACACATACACTATAGTTTCTTTTTTTTTTTTTGGTACCAGGAATCGAACTCAGGACCTTGCACTTGCCAAGCAAGCGCCTGTGCCACTGAGCTGTATCTCCAACCCCCACTATAGTTTTTTTACAAGTGGTATTTATGCTGTTTTCTTTTTTCCCTATATATGAAGAACATTTTTGAGTCTTTATATGGATTTAAGGGCGTTAGGTTCCCAGTAGAACAACTTTGTCTTTTGTAAATTTTATGTTGTGTGCACTACTCATTTTCTAAATGAGGTTTTAGTGTTTTGTTTAGTGAATTAGTATGAGATCTTCACAGGTGAAGCATTTTAAGCTTTTGTCATTGTGTTCCAATCATTTTTTCTACTTTTTCTTTTTAACTTTGCTTAATAATAATTTATATGTAACAGTTTAAAATTTTGTTTTCAAATCTCTTGATTTTGAGATTTCTTCCATTGCTTATAGCTATAAAAATTTTTATCAGTTAATTCATTCATATATATATGTATATTGGTTTAGCATATATTTTCTTTAATTTATATCTTGTTTCTTGGCAGTACTAGAGATTGAACCTAGGGACTTCACACTGAGTTGCATACCAGCCCTTTCTATTTTATACTTTCAAATAGGGTATTGCTGAGTTGCCCAGGTGAGACTTAAACTTACGATCCTCCTGCCTCAGCCTCTCAAGTGCTGGGACTATAGGCATGCACCATTGCATGAGGCTTATATTGACTTATTGTTGTAAATATTTTTCTTTTTAACAATTGTAGTAAAATACACATAACATAAAATTTATCATCTTAACTATTCTGGGGTGTGTATTTCACTATGTTAAGTATTAACATTGTTGTACAACTAACGTCTAGAACTTTTTCATTTTGCAAAACTGAAACACTACATCCAATAAACAATTGCACTCCATTTCCCACTCTTTCAGATCCTTATAACTTCCATTCTACTTTCAGTTTATGTGCACCTATAGCGTGTGTCAGGATTTCCTCTCACCATGAGTCTGAATAATGTGCCTCTGTGTGTGTACCACATTTTCTTCATTCATCCATCCATCCATCCATCCATCCATCCATCCATCCATCCATCCATCCATCCGTGAATGCTCAGGATGCTTTTGTTTCTTGACTATTGTGAATAAGGCTGATATAAGTATGGGTATAAAATATCTCATTGAGGGTTGGGGATATAGCTCAGTGGCATAAGCACCTGCCTGGCAAGCTTGAGGTCATGAGTTTGATTCCTGGTACCAGAAAAACCCCAAAAAACAAAAAAGCAAAACTAAAATATCTCTTTGAGACTTTGCTGTAGTTCTTTTGGATATATCCTTGTAAGTGGAATTTTTGGATCATATGGTAATTCCGTTTTTAATTTTTTGAGGGGCCACAGTACTATTGTCTATACTGTATCATTTTACATTCATACTAACAGAGTTCAGGAGGTTCCAGTTTTCCAATATTCTTGCCAACACTTGTTATTTATTTTTGATACCATAGTAGGTAATCTTAATGAGTGTGAGGTGATACCTCTCACTGTAGTTTTAATTTGCATTTCTCTAAAGGTTAGTGATGTTCTTTTTTCTCTCTTTTTTTCGTGTGTGTGTGTGTGTGTGTGTGTGTGTGTGTGTGTGTGTAACAGAGATTGAACTTGGGGTCTTTGCACCTTATGAGCTATATCCCCAGCATTTTTAAATTTTTGAAAGAGTCTTCCTAAGTTGCTTGGGCTGAGCTCAGCCTTGCAATCTTCCTGCCTTCTCCTGAGTGCTAACATTGCAAGTGTGCCTCCGCACACCTGTCCGAATGTCATTTCATTATGCTTTTGGCTGTTGTAGTATCTTCTTTGGAGAAATGCCTGCTCAAGTTCTTCACTCATGTTTTTTGAAAAATTGGGTTGTTTGCAATTTTTGTTGTTGAGTTACGAAAGTTTCTTATATATTCTGGATAACCCTTCATCAGACATTTGATTTACAAACATTTTCTCCCATTCTGTAGGTTGCCTTTTCACTTTCTGTCCTTTAATGTATATTTTTTCTTTTTAAAAAGATTTGAACCATTTAGATATTTTAGTGCATGGTATATGAGTTTAGAGACCAACTTAATGAGAAAACTTACTTACTTAGAGTAACTTCTTACTTACTTAGAAAAAAGTAGTTAACAATTACCCTTTTTTTCTCCACTTCTATGTGATTTCCCCGTCACCAGAAAACTATATGTATAATGTATGTTAAATATAAAACTGATCAAGTTTATTTGTTTACTTTATGTTTTCTTGCCTTTTCAAAAAAATTTTCATCTCTTCCAGATGAGCATTAGCCAGTTACATTTATGATCTTAACACACTGGATGTCTGCTACTTGTTTTGGTTTACTAGTGTTTTTAGGCTTTTCTTTACTGTAATTATTTTCTGTATAGAGTAGACTTCTTGTATTTTCTATGGGGTTAGAGATGTTTGTTACAAATGTACCTTATCCTATAAAATCAAAGACCTTTTTTTTTTTACTCTTCTTGAAAGCAAAGATGTTTTTCATTTCTTCTGTAAGTTTTTTTTTTTTAATCTGTATAAGCTTCTTAGTATGGACTCAGGTTAGCATTGTTGCTGGTCTGTTTTTTTTGCATTGTACATTTCTCTTTCAAGTATCTTTTATGTTTACTTTTCCAACATTTTAAACATGCAACAGAGTTGAAAGAATTTTGCTATGAACATCTGTAGAACCAGCAACTTATATTTTCCACCAGTGCCGTATGTTCCTATATATCAGTCCATCTATGAATTTATCTTATATAAGTACCTGTACCTCTGTCCTTCTATTAATTTGTATTATTTTTGGTGAATTTCAAATTAATGTTTTTGCATTCATTTTTGACACAATGCTTATAGCAATTACTTTTACTTTAATAGTTTTCTATAGCATCATAAGCTACTGTTTCTTTAAATATCACAACTTCTCTTATACTCTGCCTCTTTATCTCTTGTTTCATAGAAGTGTATCTTTCAGTAAGTTCTCAAGGAAAGGTACATGCAAGGTGTTTTTTCTGACCAGTAGTAATTGTGATAATATTATTTGCTGACTTTGAACATGGTGGCCTCTTGAATGGGTAACAAAACCCTTTGTGTTTTCTTCGCTATGCTAACTCTGACCTTTGTCTAGCAAACTTCCCCCTATTTTTTTTCTTTCAGATGAATTTCAAATTCTGAATGAACTCTCTCAAGAATATTTTATGGAAAGAAAGGTCCCCCCATCTTTTTCTCTCATCTTGAATTATATTTGTAGACACTGTTAACTGCTTATTAAATGTTTCTACCAATTTATGTTTAGTATTTTTTATGTTGCTTTAAAAATCTTTAAAAATGAAAGCCAAAGGCACTTACTGAAAAGTGGCTTACCATTCTCAGAAGGCAGTTTGTTTGAATTCTCCCCTTGCTAATGTTCTTGCTCCTCCTGTTGACTTTGTCTTCCATGCATTTTAGTTGCCCGGGGCCCTGAAGTTCTCATTTATTCTTTTTGCTAGACGTCCTTCCAAGAAGAATTTGAGTCTTCAGACAATAAAAAGCACAAATACAATAAAACCACTAAAACAAGGAGAAGAGTTCGTGCAGTAAAACAGGAGGGGATAATTGTGTAGAAAGTTCAGAAAACACTGCAGGTGGTCAAAGTTTAGCCCTCAGTAATCTGGAGGAAGCACATTCATGAGTTAGAGAGGCTTCCATCTGAGAAACTATATGAGAATATTGGTATGTTTTCCACTGCTGCGTATCAAAAGAGGAGCTGACACATCTTCCATTATGTCACTGATTTAGAATTTGGCTCTGTTTTCTCTTAGAAGTGAAAGTGTAGGCATTCTATTTTTAAGTTGCTTTTTGTCTTATGAGTCTTTTCTATTTTGGAAATCACAGGCTAAAAATACTTTTAATGTGTTATCAGTTTCTCATTAAGCTTACATTGTAACTGAGCTCACATGCTGCCTGTGGGCTGAGTTGTTGTGGTAGGTTTGCTTTCCTCCAGAGGAGGCTTCTTAATCCTGCGGAAAGTATACACCCTGGGGAAGAAAAAACTTTGCCTTTCCCGAAGACGTGCTGACCGCTGGGTGTGACCGGTGGGTGCGGCACGCCCAGCTCTGCTGCTGCTTTAAGGTCCACTTCCCGTCATCAATATTTTGCTGCTTGAGCCGCTGTTGATCTTGTACTTGGAGCTGAGCTCCCAGTTGACCTTCGTGTGGCAAAAATACTTCATTTACCTGTAAACCCACCTCTGCTCTTTTCTCTTTGCAGTGATTTAATGCAAATTTGCTTCTTGGTTCTAAGATAATCATTACCATGACCCACAGTATGCCATCATTTGTGGAAATGTACTGTATTCACAAAGCTACAGAAATAATAATTTTACTTTTGATATATGTATCATAACAATGGAAAAAGATGGACACACATACGAGTCAAAGTTTAAAAGTAACAAAAATACATTACAGAAAGTACAGGAAATAAGACTCAAGTTCTCCATAGCTGAAGAACCTAACAGACACTGTTTGAAAGACTAGAATTTTTGGACTTCTTTTTTTTTTTTGCATATAGGCATTTTTACATTTTGTAACTTTAATATATAGTATTTCCTTTTTTTTTTTTTTGGTCCTGGAAATCAAACTCAGAACATTGCACTTGCCAGGCAGGTGCTGTGCCACTGAGCTATATCCCTGACCTAATATGTAACATTTTATGGCTGTCTCCGTTTACCCTTCCTTAGGAGTAAATTAAAAAAACAATAAATACTTATGCAGTCACCCTGACTAGAGTACTGTAAACTTTATAGATCACTTTTATTTTTTTATTTTTTTGTCTTTTTTTGAGACAGGGTCTCACCGTGCAGTTCAGGCTGCCCTTGAGCTCACTTTGTAGCCCAGGCTGGTCTCGAACTCACAACGATCCTCCTGCCTCAGCCTTTCGAGTACTGGGATTGCAGGCATGTGCTGCCACACCCAGCTATAAATCACTTTTTTGTTTTGTTTTGTTTTGTTTTGTTTTGTTTTTCTGGTGCTGGGGATCGAACCCAGGGCCTTGTGTATGCAAGGCAAGAACTCTACTACTGAGCCACATCCCCAACCCTATAAGTCACTTTTAAAGTACATTTGTTTAGGAAACTTTGTTACATCAATTTACATTTCTTTCATAATCTGATGTCATAAAACAGATGTATTTTAAAACTATTCCAATTTATTTTAAAGCCATTAAGTAATATAATACATCTATACTTACATGTTTATCCTTATAATTAAATAATAACAAAGTGCTACCCTCTATAAGTCTGTTCATCAATTGATAATAGTTTCAGAGTTTGTTGTGTCTGTGTATTTATAGCAAAAGAAGATTTCACTGAAGCAGGAAACTACTTAAAAGGATGTGTCCTCACTGGAATGTATTCTGGAGAAGACGTGTGGATACTGTAAGTTTATTGCTTTTCTAATTTGAGGGAGGAAGAAGCTATGCAGTATAATGTGTCGATTGCCTGTACACAGCTGACGTAGGAAGGTAGTAACAGCGGCATAAATACATGTTTAATTTCCTTCTGGGAAGATCTGAGACGCACTAGGCTATTCAGATTCTTTAAATATTCTTTCACTTTGGGCTAATCCTCATTCCTATAAAAATTTTCCTCTTTGGGTTCTATTCCTTGCAGTTTTGGTGGAGCTATGACAGATTTTGAAAATTTTTGAAAATTTTCTCTCATAAGCATCTCAGTTTATATTTGCTACCAAAGTATATGTTTACAAAAATCAGCACTTTTTAAGCCACTTAAGTTGCCTTGTGGAAGATGGGGCGGCTGTGAATACCAGATTTAGTCATTGTGGGATAAAAGCCTGGGCTGCAAATTTGGAGACTTACTGATACATAAAACGTTCTGCAATACAGGCGCATTTCCACATGCAGATGGGCTTGTTAAACTCCGGTAATTATTCTTACCTTCTGTCTATAATATTCCTAGTTGTGACTTCTGAGTTTAAATCTTTCATTTTGAACACTGCTCTTGATGATGAGGCTTTTGTTCATTTGGTGAAATCAGTTATTTTTGAAAAATACACACTAAACCTGTAAATATGAGACCTATCCACTTGACAGTATGTAATCACCTACTGTTTTCTACTGTCGGTGCATATTTAACTGTGGCACTAAGAGCCAGGTTGGTAGATTTCAGAGTGTTTTGCTTATAACCAACTGGCCAAGTAAGAGGCTCTCCATAGGTGATACGAACACTGGGCTCCCTGCAGCCCTTGTATTATTTTAGCGCCAATACTCCATTCTGGCAGAGGCAAAACTTTTGCACATGTGACCATCTCGTTGGTAATTTCACACAAAGCATTTTTTTCTATTTAATTCAGGGCATTTTCTTTCAGGTTCAGTTGGCAAAAGTGGGGGGAGGCTAGATGTGGGTTCTTGTCTGTAGAGAGAGCACATACACACCCTGTGTCCGGAGCACCTCATTTGAACTCAGAATTCTATTTCTTCGTCTGTAAGATGGAAGTGTGGAGGCCACTTTGTAGGGATGTTCTGAGGGTTCAAGGAAGTATAACCAGGGCCGCGAGTATAGTACCTGGCAGGTACGGTGTCTCCTTAGTGCCCATCTTCTTAGCTCAGGGGTGGTGTGTTCCGATCCTATTCAGACACATTCTTGACAGGTCAGTGGCAGTGGGAAGAGAATCTGGCTAGATTATTATCTGTTGCTTTCCTTTACTCATGGTTGTCAAGGCTCCTGAATTTTCTTAGCTTCGTATAGAAGATCAATTTGCCTGGAAACCAATTTTTTTTTCCCCGAGCAGTAGGGCTTTTCAGTTGCTGTGACCTTTGGGCCTCATGTTTTGTTTCTAATGACTTGCTGTATTTTGGTTGTGAATGTCAATACTACATTTTTCCGTAGGGCAAATAAATATGCTGCGACTCTTCCAGCCCTGCTGCTTGCCAGACCCAGAGATGGCAAGAGAGCGAGCATTCCACTGGCCGGCACCCGCGCGCAAGACATAGTGCAGATAATAACAGACGCGTTACAGGAGACATTCGTGAGTAAACTTTATAGAAAGGGTGGTATTTGAAATACAGTCTTGATCAGCGAGCACACGGTTTCCCAGCCTTTGGTGGCACAGGGCATTACACTCTGCGGGTGAAGATTCGCTGGGTTGCTGTGTTTGGCTGTTTGTTGATGATACATCCAGCTTTTTTAGCCCCTGCCATACATAGATTCTCATGTCTTGCTGAGACCAGTGTGGCAGAAGGTCAGCCCAAGGACTTAATCTGGGTTGAAACTCGTCATAAAGCAAGCGTATCACAGAAGGCCAGGCTGCCTGGCTCCAGATCCTTGCTCAGTTCCTTACTGGCTACCCAGTACCTTTCTGCGCCTCAGTTTCCACATGTGTGAAGTGTAGGTCATAGCAGCACCCGCTGCGAAGAATTAGTGTGAGCCTAAAGAAGGTAGGATGGGTGACGCTTGTGTATAGCCTCTGGCCCTTAGTAAGCGCTCAACAAATAGCTGTCATTGTTATTTATTTAGTTTTGAAACACTGTCTAACATTGAAAGGCCTTTTTCAATGCTTTATATGATAGTGGATTCAAGGGCACAACTGGTACAACACAGATTACTCGATTGCGCTTGCTTTATATTCTATTAAGCATAGCTAGACTACTATAACTGTGTAGTTCTACACTTCTAAAGTCACACAGGGAATGAATGTCCTCCTGTTACTGTGCTTCTTGTGTTGTCCTGAATGTGAATGCTTTTAGGGCTCAAATGAATGACTGACTATAAGTCTCTTTGTGATCTTGATTCTGTCCTCTCTCTCCCTTCATCAAAGCCACAGGTTATAATTAATCAAATCATTGTGTTAATACTCTCAGGATATAGTTTTCTAAATTATTTATTGCAGTAACTAGGCTGGGGATATAGCTCAGTGGCACAGGTGCCTGCCTGGCAAGCGCAAGGTCCCGAGTTCGATTCCTGGTACCAAAAAAAAAAAGAATGATGCAGTAACTTTTTTTCTATGGTACTGAGGGTTGAACCTATGGCCTTCACACTGAGTTATACCCTCAGCCCTTTTTTATTTTTAATTTTGAGACAGGGTCTTGCTAAGTCTTTAAATTGCCCAGGCTGGGCTCAAAATATGTGATCCTCCTACCTCAGTCTCCCAGAGTGCTGGGATTACAGGTATGAGCTATCATGGACGGCTAACATTGTTTTCAATGACACTATTAAGTAAATATTCTCTTAACATATACACAGCATAGAAATTTTAGAAGTCTTAGACAATACAGAAAATGGTAAAGAAAAAGTAGAATCAACCATAATTTCTTAAAATCTAAATTTGGGAATATATTTCCCCAAACTTAAAAAAAATTATGCATGTCTTTTTATAGTAAGAGTATTTTTATAAAGGAATATACATATGTGTATTGGTTTTTAATATGTGCATAATACTCTGTTGTACTAATGTTCCATAACTTAACCAGTTTCCTCTTGAGGGATATTTGTCTTTTAAATGTCCCCCTCTTTTCTGACAGATACAGGAAAAAGCAGTGTCCTTCACTGATCTTTTAGAAATTCTTATTCCAGTTAGTCATCTTTCTGAAAACAGTGCTATCCGCACCACCAATCTGAGACAAAAATCCTGTCCGTATTCCCACAAGCTAGTGAAGTCGTCAGAGCCTCACCCGTCTGGTCTCACAGCCGCATTTGTCTCTTGCCTTCCTCGTTGTACTGATTCCCAATGTTCTTTATGCCTGAGCAGCTCTCCACCATATTCTCTGTATCTGACATCCCCAGTCAAGTGCACACCTCACTCTGGCAAGAGCATGTTCCTTATGGAAGGTCCAGCTCAAATACTACTTTCTAAAATGACTCATGCGCTTCCTTACCTTCCTTTTTAGCAAGTTACCCTCTCTGTGTGTTTTCTCATTTGATAGTTAGCGGATGATTTGTTAGCTCAGAGGTATATCCACAGGGTGTACCAGTAGATGTGGTACTGAATTTGGGAAATGGTAGGTTTGCTGTTATGAGTCATTGCTGTTTTAAATCCTAGTTTGTTGCTCTTTCTGATTCTTAGTACTGACACCTTGACAGATTGTCTTTTATAAATATATATTTAAAACGATTACTATGTTTTTATTAAGAATAAAATGGTAAAAGGATTAGATTTCTAATTCCTTGTTAAATTTCTCTTAGTTATTTTAATCTCAAAAGAGGTGAGATTTGTTTTTGGATTTTCTTTAGTATATCTTTATTTTAATTATGCCGACATATCCACAATGTTGGAAAAAGTAAAATTTAACTAGTTTTTAAGTAGTCGTAGAACTATTAAAAGGTTATATTTTTAAATTTCTGCTTGTATTTTTACTTAAATTTTAGTAGAGTGAAAATGTAACAAAAGTTTTTTTTTCTGTTACTCATGTATATGTTTGCTAACCTGGTCTAGCTGTTGGCATAAGCAATTAGTAGGAATATTAAATTTATTCTTAAAGAGTATTAGTAATTTTACTGCAAAAACTCGTTAGATGTGGGATTGAATAAGAAAGTCTTGAAATTTATAATTAATTGGCAAGCGCAAGGTCGTGAGTTCGGTTCCTGGTACCACAGAAAAACCAAAAAAAAAAAGAAATTTATAATTATTAGTTAGCATGGTAAGTCTACTTAAATGAAAACATGTTTGAATTACATTTTGTGAACTCAAATTGTAGGAGTGATTTGAATGTTGTTTTCTATTTTGTCCGTCATAATTTGCATGTTTTTTATTTTGCTTTTTGTTTTCTTTCTCTTTTGTTCTGTTTGGTTTGGTTTGATCCTTCTGTTGTAACAGCCAGAAATCACTGTGGAAAATCTTCCCGCTTATTTCAGACTTCAGAAACCATTACTTATTTTATTCAGCGATGGCAGCATGGATCCTCAGTATAGAAAAGCAATACTGACACTAGTGGAGCAGAAGCACTTGGATTCATTTACTCCTTGCTGGCTAAATCTGTAAGTCGGTTTTACTTTTTCTCATCTGTAAAAGGCAAAGAACATATAATTATATTTTCATTAGGAAATGATACCCTGTCACTCTGTGTTAGGAGTTAGTATGAGGTCAAGTACATTTTCATGCTATTTTAGTAACTAAAGTCCTGCAGACAGTATCCAAGATGATCTTGTTTTGGATTGCATCTTTT